CTGTTACTAGAAACAAAAATTTGCTCTCCTAAATTTTCCACACAGTCCTCCAAGGAGTTGAAAAACAAAAATCATTTTCCAGCTTTTCTGGCTTCGAGCCTGACTCCAGGACATGATCCAACACTAATCACCATCCAAATGTCTGTCAGCCAGACGGTCGCTGTGTACTCTGGCATATAGTACTGAGGTAGTCTTGCGCAATGTTGTTAAAGCATTATGTTATAATTATACCCGAGCCTTGTTTCCCCCGCACACCTCACAGATGCTTATCCACCAGCTGGGTTAGCTGACAATCACTCTAAACAAGCCTGGACAAAAGAAATAATAGCGGGAACTCTGAGGAACCTCTGAAAGAATATACAGCTAATGGGCCAGAATGTTCGGCCACTTCAGTATGCCCTTACAGGCCAGTCAAATATCAAGCAGCATTTCTCCCTTCTCCCTAACTGTCTGAAAGAATTTAGATAGAGGATCTGCTCCAGGGAGGGAGCTATCATCACAGATAACTAGTTCAATATGAACTAGGTATGATAGACGGGGAGGAAAGTAGCAAGGACCATTTGTTCAAAGTCCTCCCTGTGTCCCATTGTTAAAGATGGCCCAGCAAACATCTATTTACCAAACATTTGTTTTTCCATCTCCTGTGAATTGTCTTCCTACCCTTTGAAGTCCCAAACCACTACCGCCCCCCACACTTCTCCTTAGCTCAAGATGGCATAGACAAGGTCTGACAATTAAATTCGCAAACTCATCCTAGAAAAAGTGCTACATACCTCATTGCTGAGTATCACTACAGTCACCTTCGAAGTACTCCCCTTGGGAAGCTACGTACCTATGCCAGTATTTAGTCCACCCTTCAAAGCAAGTTTGGAACTCTTTCTGGAATGGCCATTGGAGCTGTCATCATATTACCCTTTGATGTCCTGAATGTCATCAAAATGTCTTCCTTTCAATATTTGCTTTATCTTTGGGTAAAGAAAGAAGTCATTGGGGAGCAAATCAGGTGAGTAGGGAGGGTGTTCCAATACAGTTTTTTGTTTACTGGCTAAAAACTCCCTCACAGACAGCGCCGTGTGAGCTGGTGCATTGTCGTGATGCAAGAGCCATGAATTGGTGGAGAAAAGTTCAGGTCGTCTAACTTTTTCACGTAGCCTTTTCAGCACTTCCAAATAGTAAACTTGATTAACTGTTTGTCCAGTTGGTATAAATTCATAATGAATGATCCCTGATATCAAAAAAGGTTAGCAATGTCGTTGCAACAAGTTCGTGAACTTAATTGTCACACCTCATGAGCTGTAAGTGCCCAACTTTGTCCTAGGGCACCTATTCCTATGGAATGCTGTACAGACATACATAATTAAATTCGGGTATTTCCTCCGGTTAATCTGTCTTATGTCATATTAATTATTCGACCAGCCAAAAGAACTAAGAAGGGAAAGGGGAAAATGTCTTCTCCCCTACAGGAGGAAAAGGCTTGTGCCATGGTCACGGACACCCATGGACATAGACACTGTGGTCTATGGCCAGATCAGATGGAACGCTAGGGAAATATTCCCACCAAAATCCAGGGAAATGGGGAAGAGAAAGCTCCTGAGGAAAGAATCCAGGTGTTCGTGTGTGTGGTTTACATTCCAGTCTGTGTTTTAAGAGGTTTCCAAGCAGGTTTTAATTAACCTCCAGCTGAAACTTGCTAAACAAGTTTTGCAACCCAGGTTATTGTGTTAGTATTTTTCCGGGTGTATAGTCCTAGGTTTGAATTTCATTAAGTTTATTATTCTTTGTAACTACAACTCAATGGGAAAAAACAAAGTGTATATTTTAAAACCTAGGTATTTCCTGGTAGTGATTTATTTGTAGGAAAGAATATCTTCATGGGATTTGGATCAAGAAAGGAATTGAACATTCAAAGTTGACATTTACAAGTGATAAGACAAGACCAAAAGTGTTTTTTAAAAGAACATGCCTTTGTTCCAATGAAATATACACAAGATTTTAGTTCAAATGTTAATTATTTAAGACTCAGCTTTTAAAACAAACCCTTAGATTTCAAATGCTCTAACCCATAGTGGACAAATTCGGAATAGTTTCTGTTTCTTTCTAGTCTATTTGATCAAGGCCTGCATTTCAGACTAAAGCATCACACAATCTTTCTGCAAAAATAACCACTGAATTATAATCACTCTGTCCTCAAAGGAGCCACTAAGAAGAGTGGGCACTGAGGAAACTCGAAAAGATGTAGGATGCTGCCCCACAGGTCTCCATCCCAGATCCCTTAGAATAACCTCTTGACATGATCTCTGATAAGTCACTCTCCAGGGTCATTTATATAAACCTCTGCCCCAAGCATATAGGAGTCACCTAGCTTAACACGTTAGGCGCCATGTCAGTCACTGGTGACTGACACTATACTTTCCGTTCGGACGGTGTCAGTCACTGATGACTGATGATATGCAATTTAAAAAATTATATTCTTCTATGAGGAAAACTAATTTCACTTGAATCGCTTCCACACGTTTCTTCTACTGACATTGTCACTGTTACAGGAAAAGAAAAATTGTTTAAACTGCATTGGAACACGAACCACAGACAACTGACTGAAGAGAAAGCATATCGGTGAAATCGGATATCGTGGGCTAAACCGAAAGGAAGACAAAACAGGCTTGGCGCCTAACATGTTCAAGACTTCAAACTGGGAAAAATATGCCATTTGAGGTATATGAGAACATTCCCGGGGACTGAGTTTTCAGAACTTGGTTTCTAAACCTCGAATTCCATATATACCCTTTCTGGAAAAAAATAATTGGCCTGACAATGCTCCTGAGGTAAAGAGATCAGACTCAGTTCCCTTTGCCCATCTAGCCTTTCATAATTACCCTTCTCACACTTGCCTAAAAAAAAGGTGTATGCCTCATCCACCCTGAATCTTAGCACACTGTGCTGCCTTACAGAGTAAAAACCTCTGAGTGCCAAACCAAAGAATAATTCAGGAATGTACATACACCTCCTGAGGGAACAGTTCTCTGAAAGTTAAGTCAGTGTGGGAGAGAAGTAATTTTCCCTCTACCTTCTAGGTTCTTGGCTGAGGCCTTCCTGTAACAGAAAAGACAAATTAACAGGAAAACAACAAACAGAAGTTTAATAACATGTATCCCTCCTGTACACATTGGAGACCAAGGAAAACTGAGTAACTCCCCCAAACGGCCCACACCAGCACCTTAAATACCATCTCCAGCTAAAGGTAAAAGAAGATATGGGGAAAGGAGAGAACCAGTTATGGGAGGTGACCAGGCAAAGCACAGTAAACAAGGGTCAGGTTGTTATGCAGATTTAAGTCCTTTTCTTCTCCACTGATAAGCATCTCCCAAGATTTACAGTCATCCTCCTCTTCCTGGTCCAGAGAGGGAGACACCTTACAAATAGAGATTTTCCTCATAAATGTACATGTCTCTTAACAAAAGCGTAACCTCCATGGTGTTTAGAGCTCCTGTATCTGCTGTTTCTTCAAAATAACCAGCTCAAGATAATCCTATGCCAAAGAGACATATTTTGGGGCAACATATTCTGTTGATCTTCACCAGCTTCTCAGATTGCTTAGAAACACCAACCAAGATTTTACTTCAAATGCCACAAAGAGCCTCCTGAGCAAGCCAATTCAAAGATCCTCTTTTGACAGATACAGGAGGTCTGACAATTAAGTTCGTGAACTTGCCACCGTGCACTTACATTGGCAGCCAGCCCTGTACAAAAAGCTCAGTAAGGTTTCATAACCTTGGTACATCAGTGTCTCACAGCTGTGTTTGTGTCAACGTGTGGCGGTGTCTTGCTGAGTGACGTTCATTATTGTTGTTGCGTATTTTTGTGTGCCATCGCGGGAATGCCTAAGCTTGAATTAGAGCAAAAAACAAACATTAAATTTCTTGTTCAACTTGGCAAGAGTGGAAGTGAAATCAGGAACATGTTAGTCCAAGTTTATGAGGATAATGCCATGAAGAAAACAGCAGTGTACAAATGGATTAAACGTTTTTCTGAGGGGAGAGAACATGTCACTGATGGAGAGGTCAGGGCGGCCAGTAACGAGCAGAACTGATGAAAACATTAAGAAAATTCATTGAGTTGTGCGTCAATATTGTTGGCTGACTGTGAGAAGCATAGCACACCAAGTAAACATCAATAGAGAAACAGGAAAATCGCAACTGAAAATCTTGGCATGAGAAAAAAAGTCGTGTGCAAAATGTTCCCAAACATTATGTCGTATACCTAAAACTAATATAATATTATATATCAACTAATTAAAAAATACAAAAAAAAATTTTTAATGGTGCTGAAGGATCTCACCGACAACAAAAGCAAAGAAGAGTCGAAGTTTGCCAAGACCTTTTGGAGAGGCAAGACGATGTTTTGGGCCATGTTATCACTGGTGATGAAACATGGGTGTACCAATATGACCCTGAAACAAAGCCTCAAAGTGCACAATGGAAGTCAGCCAGTTCTCCATGACCAAAAAAGTTCTGTCCAAATCAAGAGTGAAAATGATGTTGCTAATGTTTTTTGATATCAGAGGGATTATTCATTATGAATTTGTACCAACTGGACAAACAGTTAACCAAGCTTACTATTTGGAAGTGCTGAAAAGGCTGCGTGAAAAAGTTTAAAGACAGCGATCTGAACTTTTCACCAACAATTCATGGCTCTTGCATTATGACAATGCACCAGCTCATGTGGCGCTCACTGTCTGTGAGGGAGTTTTTAGCCAGGAAACAAATAACTGTATTGGAACACCCTCCCTACTCACCTGATCTGGCCCCCAATGACTTCTTTCTTGACCCGAAGATAAAGGAAATATTGCAAGGAACACATTTTCATGACATTCAGGACATCAAGTGTAATACGACGACAGCTCTGCTTTGAAGGGTGGACTAGGCGCTGGCATCGGTGCATAGCTTCCCAAGGGGAGTACTTCGAAGGTGACTGTAGTGATATTCAGCAATGAGGTATACAGCACTTTTTCTACGATGAGTTTGCAAACTTAATTGTCCGACCTGGTAATTGGTACAATAAAGGAACTACTAATTAAAGAGTGTCAGCAGTCAGTCAGCTGGGGGGAAGGGGGCGGTAAACATAATTTTCCACAAAGAGATTGTTCAAGCATTTTATCAGGATTGTTGATTACCTCCCAGAAGAGAAAGCCAATTATGTCATATATAAAAATTCTATCTCAGATTAGACTTTCTCTCTCAAGACCTGAAAAAAGAAAGCTTTGGCTAAAAAAAATATATCTATACCTATATACAGAGGGTGCCAAAAAAATGTATACACATTTTTTTCTTTTTTAAATTGGGGAATTGGAGGAGGGGAACAGTGCTGGGGAATCGGGGGAAGGGGAACAGACAAGTTGCTGTCCTTTTGTTCTTCAGTCAAGTTGTGGAGGACATCGCTTCACTGGCCCATGTTGGTATTATCATTGCGCTCTTCCTGGGTGAGGCAGGTCAGTCGCCGGCCATTGGACGGCTGCTCACAGTGGCTCTTGCCAGCTCATGCTGGCTGTCAGCCACACATGGTAGCTTATGACAGCCCACTGCAGCCTACGCCGTCGCCGGCGACTCATGGCAGCCCAGCTCCAGGTTGAGCTGTTGGTCAGCATCTTAGCTGTAGAGGGCAGTGTCACTGGCCCTCATATGTGGGATCTGAACCGGTGCCCTCTGGCGTCCGAAGCCAGTTCTTAACCATTGCACCACTTGGCCGGCCCGCCAAGCCAACTCTTAACCAATGCGCCACTCGGCTGGCCCGAATGTATACACATTTTAAGAAAGGAAAAAACTGTATTAAAATTGTAATACATAATATATACCAATAACAAAAGATGAATACCAGTCATGCGTATTTTTGGCACCCCCAGTAGATATAGATATAGATATAGATATAGATGATATAGATAGGTAAAAATGGAAACTTACTTAATCGAGGTGACAAAACTGCTTTATCTGAGCATCAGAAGTAGAAGATAATATTTCATGTTCATTTGAATCGGAAAATGAAGTCCGATTTTCTCTGAAGATTTCCATTTCCTTTCTTTGAGCTCTTGGCTTAAATGTCACTTCCTCAGGGAAGCCCTCCCAGACCATCCACCCACCTATTATACATTCCACTAACACTTCCCTCACTGTACTCTTCCCAGTTTGATTTACTGTTTAGTTGTGAAACATTTTGACTAAGATCTGTCTCTCCCATTAGAGCACAAACACCATGAGGGCAGGAATCATGTCAGTTTTAGGTTCACCATTGTTTCATGAGCAGGGAGAGCACTAACATTTTACACATTTATTTAAAAGGTAGTTTGATTTGGGTGATTGGTTTGATAGTGAGCGCTGGCTTTGCTATTAGGTTATAGAGCAGGCACTTTCCATTAATTGAATGAGCTAAATGAGCTATGCCAAGATTTTGAAGCATCAAGAACAGATTTAAAGTATGTGCATAATGTACAGTACACCAGAAATCACATTCTTTGCAGCTATTTTAGCCTATGATTTTACAAATATGTCAATTTGGAAATATAAAAATTAAAAAATTTAAAAGACAAAATAAAATGTGTGAGGGGGGTACATAGTTGTTCAAAATTTCCTGAGGGCATACTTGAGCAAAAATGTTTGAATGAAACTGAAACAGTACAATCCCTATATTAATGTAGGACTTGCGCTTCCACTGTTCCTGGGTGGGCGTTCAGTCATCATCTGCTTGAACACATTTGGTGATGGGGAAATTCCTACCTACATGGTAACTCGAATCATTGTGGGGAAGCTCCATTTATGAAAAAGTTCAGCTAGCTTTGAGTCCAAAGCTATCTCTTTGTTGTTCCCATTCACCCACTTGTGGCCTTAATTCTGCCACTGGGACTGGAATAGCCCTTCATCCACTGAGCAGGCTTTTGATGATTCCAAGATAGACATGTCAGATAGTCAGTCCTTCAATCATTCCTTATTAAATATAATTTATTGGCACCGCACCATCCTTCTTTGAAGATCCCTGTTCCCCTTCACCTAATTAACTCCTACTCTTCCTCAGCAATCAGCGTAAATGTCACTTCCAGCACCTCCAGGCAATGTGCCCATTTTCTACACAGGGAAAGGGGGAAGGCAAGGGTAAACTACAGAGCCCGTCCTCATATAGCTTGGCCTTTAAAAAAAAATTCTGAAGAAAACCATCGCCAAGTGCTTCTACCTACACTTCATTGGCCAGGATGTGTCACATGGCAATCCTTAGTGGTAAGGGAGGCTGGGAATTCTAGTATTTCGCTTTCCAGTTACTTTCATAGAGAAAGTCATAAGTCCAAGGTGAGCACAGTGATAAAGCATCTATTGCAGGAATTATAAGCCATAATTAAAAAGTAATTTGAAGATTGTAAACAAAACAATCCACCAACCAAGTAATTAACAACAAAACAAACCTTTGACACTATGTAAAGTGTGTAAAGCTATGCAACTTTCTGACTGGATTACTACAAAACTATAAACAGTTCACCAAAAAATGCAGACTCTCAAAAAATAAAAAGTAATACATATGGCCTGACATTGCTTTGTTCTTAAATTTTTACAATGACTTCTCTTTCCATTTCCAACACCAACTACCCTATGCTAAAATGTTAAATGGCTATGACTTGTGTTTTCTAATCAGCATGTCAGTCACAATTCTTAAAGTACATGTTTAATTGTGGATCACACCATGACATACCTCTGTCTATAAAGTAATTTGATTTTTTAAGGCAACTTAATTTTAAAAATACTTACATGCAAATGTTCGGTTGAGTACGCTTAAGATCATTTTCTTCTGGTGAATCAGCATGATTTCTACATCAAACTAGGTACTTTGTCTGCTTTGTGGAACATTGGCAGTTTCATTTCCTGTTAAGGAAACAGCAGGATTTTTAGAACTTAGATAAACCTTTGCCTTTACTATTTGATTACTGAAAACAGAGAAAAACATAAAACACACTTTTAAATATTTAGTGAATAGTATATCAAATATGTCTTCAGCATTATCGAAAAGTTTAGAAGGGGATTATTTGTTGTGAATGAAACATTTATCTTTTAATATGAGTATTTAGATGGAAGATTTTTTTTTGAAAAGCTGTTCTGGCTGATGCTGTTGGATTCATGCCTAACATCTTTCTTTTTGAAAAACAGAATCACATCATCATTACAATCTACACATTCCCGCCTGGACTCTTAGAGAGAAGTCTGGGGTGGCCCCAGGGGTAACAGCCCCAATTTTCCCATTATATGCTGCATATCACATCCTAACAACTTTTAGGAAAGTTTTTCATTATTAGTGTTTTGTTTCAGAAAAAAAAGCCCAAAAGAGGATATGGTGAAAAGTCTAAAGGATAAGGGAGATGAGGACAAAGAAAAAGCATTTAAAAATAGAATCACATGACTCCTAAGACGGAAGGGGGAAAGAACAAGGGGCGAAATGGGTGGTGAGAAATCGTACAGAAAATGTGCTGAGCGGCAGGGCAGAGACATGAGCAACGTGTTGAACATTTTTTTGAAGTGTCTGCACTGTACACAGGTCAGTATGACAATGACCTTACTGTAGACAGTGCAGGGAGACTACATGTAGGGTTACTTGGTTTCTGGGTTTTTTTATGGAACAGTCCAGAGTTTCAATTTGCTGTCTGGAAAATAAAAAACTCAGAATTCCAAATCCTGTGACCTGTAGTGCTCACAGTCCTGGCCCAGCCCACTCCCCGTTTCCCCTCTTTTGCTCGTTTGCAGAATTCCCTTTCCACCTACACCGTCCTGGTGTCGTGTTAAGATTATTAATCACAATGCCCTGCCCCTGTCCAACCTCCCTCCACCCTAGGAGTTGGCTCAGGGCTGGGTGCACCAGGGTTTCAGCGCTCCCACTATTTCTAGATAGCTCATAGGCTGGAGGTGGTAGCCTGGGGCTACTGGCTGCTATCTTCCTTGTCTGGAGAGAGCACCGACTGCAAAACACAGCCAAGGCCGGTGAGAATCAGAGCCAAGCACTGAGGTAATGGCACAGTGGTTGGAGATGTTTCTCCTTCCTGGAATTCCCACTCATTCTCCATTCCTTGAACTCCCAGTTCAAACTCTGCCCCAGCCCACAGGGACCAGGCCCCTCTCAAGGTCAAACCTTAGCCCCCAGCTTATAGACTGCCTCATATTACAGAATCTATCACACAGGGGTAGCTCTTCTCCCCACCTAGGTACTAAATGGCTTGGGGTTTTTTTTCTGCCTCCCATCATGTACAGCGCGAGCCTGGCATGTCGTAGGGTTACAGGCAAGACTTGTTAAATTCAATCTTTTTCTTGTCACAGGAAGCATTCTAAAACCAGGATGTTTTTCTAATGAGTGATCATACCAGGTGGCTGCTTAAGAAACTTTGTGCATAATTTACATATCTCCTTTCATCTGCCTCACCAACTTGTGAGGTGGATGTTCAAGTTTATGGCCTTGGAATTTTGAACTGGGTTATAAATTACAAGGAAGGCAAGTATCTCTGACTCCAAATTCTGCATCAGGAAACAAACAGACCATAACACCTCCTCTTCACCCCCTCCGGCCAACCAACAAGCAAATTTGTACCATATTGTTATTCCCAGTATCTCACGGGTAAAGGGTGTTCAAGGTCAAGGCCTCACACACTGAATAAACTGGAACCAATTATGCAGCTGAGTTTCACCGAATACATTCCCTAAGCAACAAAATATGTGATTCAACATAGAAAAAACCCACTCACACAGATAACACATTTTCTGAAAGACTTTGGCCAACCTTGATAACTGCTTCTGCAGGAGAGGCCTCCATTTGGGAAACAGAGGGAGGGAGGACAAGCTAAGTTGTTGCTCTAGGACCTTCCAGAACCGCAGCTGTGACCCTCAACAAGAAAGCTGACCTGGGCTTTTCATTTGCTTTGACTTCATTTATGTGTTTAATTCCAAAGCTGCAAATAACAGGAAATGAACCACAAAGTTAACATCAAAGGTGGAAGGAGACTAGGAGGCCGACTGAGAAAAAGAATTAAAAGGGGAAACATTCCAGTAAGAGTGAGTCACAAGCATTCCATGCTCACTAGAATCACAAGAAGCAAATTGTGTGGGAACCCGCAGTGGATACTCCAAGTAAGAGAGAGAGAGACCTACAGCTCTTTGAAAAGTGTAACATGCCCCACAAATGTGAGAAATAGCACATAAGCCATAGTTAGGGCAAATATTCATAAGATGGAAAAATAATTTTTAATGGAAACTAGTCTCAGGGCATACTGGTTCACAGTACATACATTTGATCCATCTGTTCCTTCTTGTAGAGAGAATAATCCTTGAGGGATACTTTCTCTTCTATTTATCAGACTATAAATGTCACAGATTATGTGGAACTTTAACTTTCAAATGAAAGTTTGTGTCATTTTTTAATAAAAATGCTAAGCGAGATAAGTCAGACAGGAAAGGAGAAGAACCATATGATTTCACTCATATGTAGGACGTAAAACAGAAAGCAACAAATGAACAAAGAAAACAAACCCACAGACACAGACAACAGCTTAGTGGTTACCAGAGGGAAATGGGGGAGGGGGGTAGTAGAAGAGGGAAAAGGGGGTCAGATATATGGTGATGGAAGGAGAACCGACTCTGGGTGGTGAGCACACAATGGGATATATAGATGATGTATTACAGAATTGTACACTTGAAACCTATATAATGTTATTAACCAATGTCACCCCAATAAACTTCATTTAAAAAAACAGTAAGTTTACAAATGATGCTGCTGGAGGGAAAGTTGTAGCACTGTGCTCTTTCTCTTTGGCACAGTGGGGAGTTTTACAAAAACTCCCCAATGATGTCGGAGTCCCCCTAGGACAAAAAAAAAGTCCAAAATCAGACTGTTTAAGACATGGGGCCGTGTGTGTGTGTGTGTGTGTGTGTGTGTGTGTGTGTGTGTGTTGACAACAGAGTAATCTGATGTCAAGGTGTAGCATGACAGTGCTTGACATCACACTTATTGCTAGCACTGTCTATCCAAAAGCTCATGGAACTTTAACCATAAAAATATGTACATGTATGTAATAGTGCATATGCAGGGGCTTTGGTTTCTGCCTAGTTTGAATTCACCTGCCTAACAATTAAAGAGAGCTAGGAGAGAAAAAAGTGATCTCTAACTCTTCTTTATGTCTGAGAACTCATTGTAGTAAAGGAAAATGAGGTTTACTGTGAAGAGGACCAAAATAGTATAAAGAAGTGAAAATCAGATTGAAAATTTTCCAGTCTGATCTCAAAATGAAAGGCTCACTGCTGTGACTTTGCTATAACTTCATTTTGATAATCTCAATTCAATATAAATTCTGCTCCACACTTTTTTTCTATGTCTGCCAAAGACATTGGTGTTTCCTTGATATACATGTCTGGATCTGCAGAGATTAAGACTTACATATCTGTGTGTTAAAACTGAAAGAGGAAGAGTGTGAAGGTTCCTCAAAAAGTTAAAGACAGAACCATCACACGATCCAGCCGTCCCGCTTCTGAGTATTTATCCAAAAAAAATTGAAAGCAGGGTCTCAAAGAGATATCTGCACTCCCATGTTCCCAGCAGCGTTATTCACAATAGCCAAGCGGTAAAAGCAACTCAAATGTCCATCATGGATGAATGGATAAACAAAATGTGGTATATACATACAATGGAATATTATTCTGACTTAAAAAGGAAGGAAATCCTGTCACTTGCTACAATGTAGATGAACTTCGAGGGTATTATGCTAAGTGAAATAGGCCAGTCACGAAATACAAATGCTGTATGATTTCATTTACATGAGGTATCTAAAGCAGTCAAATTTATAGAAACAGAAAGTAGAATAGTGGTTTCCAGGGCTAGGGGAGGGGGAAATACGGACCTAGTGTTTAATGGGTATAGAGTCTTAGTTTTGCAAGATGAAAAAGTTCTGTATCTCTTTTACATCGATGTGAATATATTTAATAGTACTGAACTGTACACTTAAAAGTGGTACATTAAGATAGTATTTTTATGCTATGTTTTTACCAAAATTTTAAAAAATATTGGTTTCAAACATCAGAAATGTTCAAGAACACTTTGAAATGCTATTTGATCACCCATCCAGTCTCTGGGGAGGCTGAAGATCCAAACCCACCTCTAAAAACAAGAGAGCCTGGGAATCAGGAAATTGGGTGTTCTCTTGAAGTTTGGGAGTTTTGAGGGTTCCTTTGACAGGGAAGCATACAGTAATAAATCTCAGGTTTGTAAATATCATTCAAAAAGAACAAGAAAAAACTGGGCTGGCCGAGTGGCGCATTGGTTAAGAGTTGGCTTGGGACGCCAGCTCTGAGCAGCAGGGCCCCGGTTCGGATCCCACATATGAGGGTCAGTGATGCTGCGCCCTCTACAGCTAAGATGATGAACAACAGCTTGGCCTGGAGCTGGGCTGCCGTGAGTCACCGGCGACGGTGTAGGCTGCAGCCCCTGCTGCAGTGGGCTGCCGTAAGCTACCGTGAGTGGCTGGCAGCCAGCGTGAGCTGCCAAGAGCCGCTGTGAGCGGCCGTCCAGTGGCCGGCGAGCGACTGCGTCACCCAGGAACAGCGCAATGATCATAATACCAACATGGGCCAGTGAAGCGACGTCCTCCACAACTAGACTGAGGAATAAAAGGACAGCAACTTGTCTGTTCCCCTTCCCCGATTCCCCAACGCTGTTCCCCTCCCCCAATTCTCCAATAAAAACTTAAAAAAAAAGAACAAGAAAAAACTAAGGAAATCTGAGCTACAGGAAGTCAAAGGGTTTAGAGAGCAGGTGCACTCCATTCTAAATTAGGACAGGAACAGTCATGCATAATTGTGGACTCAGGAACAATGAAAGGCAGAGGACTCAACAG